CTCCTTTTCTCTCTCTTCTCCTTCTCTCTCTCCCTTCTTCTCTTTCTCCTTTCTCTTTCTCTCTCCTTCTCTCTTCTCCTTCTCCTTTCTTCTCTCTCCTTCTCTTTCCTTCCTCTTCTCCTTCTCTTCCTCTCCATTTCCTCCCCCTTTCTCTCCCTCCCTTTTAATAGCAGTCCTGTTTGCTATGAATTATAACACCACAGGACTGTACATTCTACAAATCCCCGTTACATACAATGTTACAATGTTACAGTTTTGTGAGAAAAAAAATAGAGGAAACACAAAAACGACAGAGCGGCTAAACGTGAATTAATCCTTTTTTTTTATCTAACTAATCCAACTGTAAAACTTCCTACATTGATAATAATCACTCAGCGAAAATTTATTACATTCATAATATTGTCACCATAAAGGATATTCGTGCACCAATATTGGTGGTAAATTGCTGTTGAATACCTTATTATTTTCATAATGATTTTGTTACTATAAACTTATTACATTCATTCACGCTTAAAATCTTACTACATTCATATAATTTCGTCACCATAAAACCACATTCATCATAATTACTGTTAAAAAGACTTACTACATTCATCATAATTACCGTTAAAAGACATTGCATTCTTATTCATCCAAAACTTGTTATATAATAATCTACTCATCAAAAATTATACAAGACTTACTACATTCATAATAATTCAGCCACCACACTCGTTATATTAAGAATAATTTACTCATCAAGAATTTATTACAATCACAACCATTATTTGCCTGCGAGTGATAATCTCCTTCATTTACTCAATGTAAGCTCGATCATAAGTCAAAATAAATATCCGGTGTTTTTATTACATTCATTTAATCCTTTCCTAATTACAACGAAATGAAAGTAACCTACATTCATTTCAGTTTACATCAGAAAAAAAAGAAAAGAAGAAAATGACTAACGTAATAGCTTCTATTTTAACTACATAACCTCTCCCGATTCGTTTTTGAAAAGGTGTTTAATAATATTGAAATACTGGCTATTGTGATAGTCTACGGTAATCAGTGTGACACAGATAAAACAAGAAGGAAAGTTGTTATATTCTCAACAGACATAAATATAACTCAATTGAAAATCACTGTCTTTATTTAGAATGTCATTTTATCAGTAAATCATACTGGCTTAATTTTTTTTCTCTCTCATGATTCAGTTGTTTGTTTTTCATTAGTTATTTTCACTCCCTTTTCTTAATTACTTCAGGATAATATTTATTTGTGAGTTTTCATGCATTCTGAATGAGAAATAGGAAGACGTGAAGAATGAAAAGGCAAAGTTGAACATTATCGCAAAGAATCTTGGGAAAAAAAATGTTGAAACCCACCCTCACATCCGGGCATTGTTGTGCAACAGGACACACGCACACACAAACACATGATGCTATCTATGTTGTATGTATGGATCATTTATATAAAAAGTATGTATGTATCTATGTCTATCTCTAGCATATATGAACCCTTTTTTATTGTTTTTTTTACCGTTAAAGGATGTAAGCATTACTCACGCATCCTCTCTCTCTTTATCTTCCTAACCCCCCCCCCTCTCTCTCTCTCTCTCTCTCCACCCCTCTCTCTCTCCGTGCGTGCTGTGTTATACTTCCTATCATGCGTTATCAAAACCATTATAATTTCGTATCTTGTGTATCTTTAAACGTGGTCTTAATGTATCATCAGAACTCGGTGAAAATATAAGTTACTCGTCTTCGCTAAAGCACCTTAAATGAGAGAGAGAGAGAGAGAGAGAGAGAGAGAGAGAGAGAGAGAGAGAGAGAGAGAGGAGAGAGAGGAGAGAGAGAGAGAGAAAGAGAGAGAGAGAGAGAAAGAGAAAGAGAAAGAGAAAGAGAGAGAAGAGAGAGAGAGAGAGAGAGAGAGAGAGAGAGAGAGAGAGAGAGAGAGAGAGAGAGAGAGAGAGAGAGAGAGAGAGAGAGAGAGAGAGAGAGAGAGAGAGAGAGAGAGACAGCTATAGGTCTAATAACCTACACATCGCTCCAACCATCCCAATGAGTGCTTGCCTGGTTTGACCTCCCCTGCAACCCGTGTAATTTGTCTTTCAAACACTGTATTTCCCATATATACAGATATAACAAAATCGTATATTCAATCACAGAGAATTTTCATGGTGACATAAAAACGGAGCTGTCAAGTGTGCACCTATTGACATATGACAGGCATCCGAATGCTCCTGAGTAATTATCTTATTAAACTTTATTGGGGGGCGGGAGGAGGTGGGGTTTGTTTACATCCGGGTTCCACTACAGCGTATCTCAAGAAATAATGAACTGGCAACTCACTCCGATTCGCCAAATTTCTTGTTTATACTAATCAGCTGATACGTAATACATATATTTACATATATTTTGGGGCAATTTTAAAAATCGTATTCAGCTTTACACCACTTCTTTATAAAGATAATTAACCGAAGTATAACTAAGCTCATTTCCGGTACCTGGTAATGGTTCTGTTACATTTAACCGGGTTCAAAATTGTTTCCATGGCGTTATATCTACATCACATTAGTTCACACATTCCTTAGAGAGAGACAGGGAGAGAGGCGGGAAAAGGAAAGAGAGATATAAGAAGGGGAAGCAAACAATAGGACAGTCTTTATCAACCCTGGGGTCCTAAGCGGTTTTTCCTGGGGTCGCCAAAACCTCAAAATACCAAACGTGGTCAGTTCCTAATTTTGATGTTTTGAGCGTATACGTAGTCTCATACTGGTTCAGGGTTACGGAATAAATATTGCTTGATTATAGCACAATGCTTAAAAAATGTAGTCCTAACCGCTAATCCTACATCAGGCACGTCTCTGCCTTCCTACATCCAGATATTTATAACGAAAAAAAAGAAAAACAAATCCACTGAATTCTGACTAGAACAAGAAAATATGGTCATAATTGTGGACTTTTGTTTATCGGACTGCATATATCTATTGAATAATATAAATAATAATATGATACAATTCAAGCCTAATTTTAGAACAAACAGGCGTCGCAGCCAAGTATAGAGATTCGTGATAGCTGTCCCCTCTAGAAAAAAAACTATTTGGGAACCGCTGTAACAGGTCATTCCTCGCAAAAACAACACAACAAGCTCTTTGTAATGAATTCTCTAAAATCCGACTCATCTGACTCATCTACTTCCCCAGATGGTGAGCCTGAGCCTGACCAAAAGGTTGATAATCCAAACTTGAGTCTGGTTCCAGAGTTAGATGAATTGGCAAAGGGGAGCTAACCTACTGAAGACCTTGACGCCGGCCCTGTTAACGGTTTTCGATGAGACAAATACCAATATTCAATGAGACTCCATTAAACTCCCTTACATATTTTGTCCCTAGCAATATCTCATGTTCCAGCCCATGCCTCGAGTGTTTTATGTTCATATTCACACCGGCAGGACTAGCAAGATGCCACAGCGGAAGCAAAACACATGAAAGAATGATAGAGATGGATAAATAGATAGGTAGATAGAGTGAGTAGAGTGAGAGAGAGAGAGAGAGAGAGAGAGAGAGAGAGAGAGAGAGAGAGAGAGAGAGAGAGAGAGAGAGAGAGAGAGAGAGAGAGAGAGAGAGAGAGAGAGAGAGAAAGAGTAGATGGTATAGACCGATGGTAAACATGAGAAAAAGTAGCAAAACATTTCTCTAAAGGGATAGCATGGTATGAATTTGAAAATAATGAGTGATAACATTGAATATACAGTAATGACAATAATGATGGTAAGGTTAACAATACCAATAATAATGATAATAACATACTGACACTGAGTAGCAATTAAAAAAAATCTATACAAGAAAATAAATTGAAGTTGTAAAATGATTAGCAAATATATGCCAATTATCTTCTTAAATTTGACTTAAGATATCTGTCATAACGAATGAATAATATTTACAAAAATTAATATCAAACGCCAATTAGTCTGAGCATAAATTTTAAGGTCATTAACTGGAATATAGACATGAACATAATCAATTTTCGCAATTGCATTTTAAAAAGTTTTTTACATTCTATAAAAACCCGTTTTTTTTATGGGGGTTACAGAACCGCGTCGAATTATCAACTGTTAATTCATCCGCTGAAGTCACACATTAATAATTTCAAAATGCTTGTCAATTTTGTATCGATGCCAAATTCCGTTTAACATCCACATCACGACAAACACTTGCTCTATGAATAAAAATCAGCAAAATAACTAGGAATTGCACAAACTCGATGAAACTGTACCTTCCAAATTACTGAGGTTACTAATGCCACGTGCATAATGATAAACATCTCTAAGTTATGTGTTATTTCCAGTCCATAACTCACAACATGTTTTCTGTTACAGCGGTGAAGGTGCAGTGAGGTGTGAAAGTGGAACCAGTGGAGCATCAGGTTTTTATACTCGAATGGCTGCATACCAAGAGACCTTCGATGAAATGAAAGCAACTTATAGGAAGGATGCCCCATCATATGACGTTGTTAAACATTGGCATCGCTAGTTCAGGTGTGGTTGGAGATCTGCGGAAACGGTTCCTCTCCCATGGCGACCCCAGTCTGCCGTTGACGAGGACAAGTGATTGCCATTTTTGGGAGATCGCCTTATTACATTTCGTGAGCTGGCCCAAGAAGCACTCAGTCTGTTCAGGGTGTTAAGAGTAGTGTTGGGTCTGTGGGCAATATCGTTCCTGACCATCTGCATGTGCAAAAGTTGCCTGCTCGATGGCTTCCCAGGCTACTCACGCCTTTCCAGAAGCAGGAATAAGTCCATTATCCCAAGGCTCTTCAAACCAAGTGCCAAGAAAATCAGGAGGACTTTTTTGACAGACTAACTACGCAGGATGAAACTTGGCTCCTAATGATCCAGAAACTAAGGCTCAGTCTAAAGAAAAGAAGCACTTTGATTCACCACTTCCCAAAAAGGCACGTGTCACATCCTCGGTACTCACGGCCATAGGCACAGTCATTTAAGACCAGCATGGAGTAGTGATGATGGATTTCCTGGCAAAAGGAACTGCAGTTACGGGAGTTTCCAAAGCTTCACTCCTACAGAAATTGCGGGAGGTTGATCCAAGAGGCGCGGGTTGTCGACCAAAGGCGTCTGCCTCCAACTACATTGCCCAGATGGAGGCGCGGTCCTGTGGCTACGACACCCTTCATCCTCCTCCTTCTTCTTATGACTTTGCACCATCTGTCTTTCCCCTCTTTCCGTCCATCAAGTCATTTCTGAATGGAAAACGTTTTCAAGGTGATGATGCGCTGATTTCTGAAACCACTTCATGGCTTCAAAGGCAACGCGCTACCTTCTACTTGCCAGGAGTCCACAGCTGTATAAAAAGGTGTGTTTTTCTGCACATATGTGTCACCTAAGTAGAGAAAGACTAATAATTATACGACGTTTTATTCCCGTTCGTCCATGGGAAATGGGTCAGGGGAAATCTTTACTGAACGCCTCTCGTCAGTCAAAATATACACAATAATACAATCCCAAAACAATGGACCTGATAACTGACAAATACACTCACATTCATATTCAAATCCCCACGTTACTCTAACACATGAGATTAAATATATCAAACATACCACCCAAAAATACGTGTACTCATGTATTCTCCATTATTCTAGACAACAGATTACCTCTGATACATCAAACAAATCAACACAGCTGACACTTACTGATTGAACACTTGGATACCTCAGAACACGTGTGGATAGAGCAGTTTATATCAAAATATATATATAACACATCCACACCTCTATAGCTACTCAACATCAACACATATGTATACTTCATATTTTTAATTGTAATTTTCAATAGCCAATTATATAGATCCATGAGTGTTTTTCTATTCAATAAAGGGCTGAATCATCTCCACAGGGCAGATAATGCTAATATGTATTGTTGTAAACGGAAAATGTTGTTACTATTGAAGACTTGAGTGTTATGCTTTCTCATAGGACTGGTGATATAAAGAGATTTATATAAGAGCCAGTTAACTTTATTTCACTTATAATAAAGCTTTCTTCAAGGCAGCGTTGTAGTCTTGCAGAATACAGTCTTCTAAGAAAAGAAAGTTCATTAATTCATCCATTCTGCCTTTCAGTCTCTCTCTCTCTCTCTCTCTCTCTCTCTCTCTCTCTCTCTCTCTCTCTCTCTCTCTCTCTCTCTCTCCTCTCTCTCTCTCTCTCTCTCTCTCTCTCTCTCTCTCTCTCTCTCTCTCTCTCTCTCTCTCTCTCTCCTCTCTCTCTCTCTCTCTCTCTCTCTCTCTCTCTCTCTCTCTCTCTCTCTCTCTCTCTCTCCTCTCTCTCTCTCTCTCTCTCTCTCTCTCTCTCTCTCTCTCTCGTTTACATCATGCATTCACAAATACAATAACCATTCAACTTTCAAACGCAACCTCCCCGACTCTCAATAATTTTGACCTTTAAATACATAACCCCTCCAAAATAAGGCCAAAATGTCGAACTAATGTAAGAGAAACAGTGCCCGATCTGCCACCAAACTCCCCCAACTGTGACGGATGCCTCGCTACCACATCACAATAACCGCATTCGCGCTCCGCAATATCTATGAAAAGAATATGAATAAAATCACCATAGACTATTCCAATCCTCTTTTTTAAATTGCTTTGAATTTTTAAAAGATCCTAAAAGACTGCTTTAGTGCCCTTTCTGCAACATTACGACACGTTTGAGTTTAAATTGAGCAACGAGACGAAAATAAACTCAGTGTCAATCGAGACGTCGAAGGGAGACTACGTTCTGATCTCGATCATGGCTTCACGGGATGTTCTAAGTTTATCTCTTGGTTAGTCGATCATTATGTGATTTTGAATGACTCGGGGGGATTTAGTAGTGCGATTGTGTGGGGTTTGTTGTAATTTAAGGTCGGGAGATCGTTTGGTTTGGTTATAAAAGAATGGTAAAGGTGTTTGTGATATTTTTTCTTTTGTTTTTAATTTGGTTTGTTTTTGTTTTTTGGAAGGGAGAGGTTTGCCAGGTTTTGCTTGGCGTCGTGAAGGGATTTTGTGGTTATTCATCATTTATTGCATTATTCTTTCTGATATTCTCGTATAATTTAGAAATTGTTAAGTATCAGGTTATTGGAAGATTTGAATTTTATATTTAGAAAAAACGTAAGAGAGCGAGAGAGAGGGCGAATGTGAATGATGGTTAGAGATAAACGTTTAGCATACTTCCAGAACTTGCGTTTTGATATGTATATTGTTCGTGTTCTTTCAAAATGAACTTTAAACTTGCTCAGATCAGTCACATAGGCCTACATCACTCAAGTACAAGCCACTTGTGATACAATATCATGCTACAACTGATATAAATCGGCCATCATCCACCATTATCTATAGGACTTTCTCATTAGATGGTAAATTAAAAAGGGAGATCTGCAGGCTCTCTTACCAGCTGAATAAAGGGTGTGGAATTCTGTTGGCCATTGCTGGAGCACCTGCAGGAGTGGGGGGCTTTGCTGACTGTC